AGGAAAAGAAGAGAAGAGGGAGTAATTAAAGGGTTGAATGCTTTAAAAAAGGCAGAGGAAGTTAAGACTTAGACATGTCTTCTGGATTTAGCAATTGAGTGGCTGTTGGTTGTTTGCTGACATGGTTTCAACTGATCTAGGAGGAGAAGCTAGATTGCAGTGTGCTGAGTAGTGACCGGGAGGTGAGGAAGTTGTTTCCGAATAGGTTTGTGGAGAAAAGTGCCTCATGGTAGTAGAAGAGTTTACCAATATAGTTGCTCTTGAATGATGGAAGATCGAATACTTAGTTGATTGGGGGTTAGGAGAGGAGGCTAAAAGAAGGTAGGCTCAGGATTATTCCTAAAAGGAGTCTTACTCAGACTCACCTCCATGTCGGGGTAAATGCAGGGTTGCGTGAGGTTTCTTTCTTTCATTGTCGCCCCGGAAATGATGGGGAAAGAGAAAAGCCACAACACGCTTTTTTTCTTTTTCAGGAATTGGGAAAGGTTGTAAAACTTTACTGGCATGGAATTTGGTTCACTAATTGCTAATTACTGCAGTCATTTGTCTTGTTTTGGTGACTTCATTTGCAGGCACCTATAACTGAGTTGCAAGGCTTAACACTTCAAGAAGGTGTAATAGACATGAATCTTTTTTCTCTTTTCATTAGGAAAGATAATTTGGTTTTTAGTATATTTGCTTTTGAATTGTTCTAACTCTAGTAATACCTCTTAAAGGATAGAAGTAGTGAAGAGTGTAAATAGATTTTCAGATAACTGTGTAGAAAATATTAATAATTATGAAAACAATTGATCAGCAGTTTATTTAAAATTTTTTTCTTGCTTTCCTAGATTTTACATGCTTTTAATTCAAGGTTTGCAGATAAATGATTATGTGTGCCATCCTGTCTTGGCCAGCGTTATTCTAAACTCCCCTCCTTTGTTCTGCTGTGACTTGAAAGGGATTGATGTTGTGGTTCCTTACTTTATTTCAGCTCTTGAAACCATTTTGCCTGACAGGTAAGCTCTCTGTACTAGCATATCACTTGTTGGGTTTGGCCTCGTCTGTTTTGGTGCTTCCTCCCCAGTTTCCTCATTTATCCTGTGCAGTGTTGTCTTTATAGCCCAAGGGGACTCAGGTCACATTACGTGAGCATAGAACGTCCAGATAGACCTCATCCCTGAATTCATTTAGTTCTCATTTGTCCTGGGCATGTTGAATCCTTTTTGGCCTGGTTTAGAGGGCTAAGAACAACCCCAGCCCAGAGGTCCTACTTTTATAGAGTAGATCATACATTTGAAATCAGTCAGTCAGATTCTAGTTTAATTCTCTAACAGTTTAACAAAGAAGTTCACACACATGCACACATACACATACACATACACACCCCGCAGAATATAAACTCAGTGTAAAGTAGTTACTGCATTTGTTATGAAACCAAATTCAGTGCTTATATTGTGAAAAATTGACATAATGTATATTTGGCAATAGCTAAAAACAAGCTTTGGTTTGGAAATACCAATAGCTATTTCTTTTTTTCTTTCTTTCTTTCTTTCTTTTTTTTTTTTTTTTGGCAGAGAACTCTCAAAATTCAAAAGCTATGTAAATCCAACAGAATTGAGAAGATCTTCCATTAATATCCTCCTTTCTTTGTTGCCCCTCCCACATCATTTTGGCACAGTCAGATCTGAGGTAATGTTTTATTAAAGTTTTTTATATTCTATATTCTGTTTTGTGTGCTTAAATCATGTCACATTGTATTTTAAAAATGGAACATGAGCTTTTTAAAACTTTTCTCAGATTATTTCAATCAAATCGACAAAGCTGATTTATTGTAGTATTTCTTCTTTCAGCCAGCCAGCATGCCTTGGTCTACTATTTCAGGTGGCGATAGCTAGTGACAGCTAATAATAACACATGTTGAGTGAGTTAGTGCCAGACTTAGCACAGGAGCTAATACTAGTCAGATTGAAAGCCTTGCTTGTTAGCCTGGTCTCTTTGTCCACTGTAGGAATTGCCACATGGGCATAGTGCACCACAACAGTTGATGTTGAATATTATTTGTTTCTTTCATAGGTGGTCTTGGAAGGAAAGTTTAGTAATGATGACAGCTCTTCATATGATAAACCAATAACTTTTTTGTCCCTGAAGTTGAGACTTGTGAATATACTAATAGGTGCCTTGCAAACAGAAACGGACCCCAACAACACTCAAATGATACTAGGTTTGTGTTCACACATTCTTTTGTAAGTGAACCCACACACTGTTGACCCCAGGCATGCTTAGAAGGCAGGGGTCGGTGATGAAGCCTGAGCCTAATACAGCTCTACTTATTCTGAATCAGAGGCAGAATTTGTTTGCTTTTATATGTGAAAAAGTTTAAAGGGGTGAGATGAGGGAAGGGAAAAGCGTTACATTTGTCTTAGGGGGTCATTTTTGCTTAGTTTTATTTGTGTTATTTTTCCCTTTCCCTCTTGCCTTTACTCTCTCCTCCTGTTCCCTTACCCCCTTCTTCCTTTTCCCTCTGTTCTCTTTCCTTCCCTCCCTTATTTCTGCGTTTTCCTCTGCCTCCTGCCCATTATGTCCATGGGGAAAAATTTTGAGTTGGGTGTGAATCTGGAAGCTACGTCAGAATCCTGCCAGGAGGAAACTGAGAAGTAGCTGTTGCTGTGCTTCCTTCCTTCTTCCTTAATGTTCTCTGTTGGTCTCCTGATCGTACTGATTCTGTTTTATTTTTTTTTAATTTTTTAAAGATTTTATTTATTTATTTGACAGAGAGACAGCGAGAGAAGGAACACAAGCAGGGGGAGTGGGAGAGGGAGAAGCAGGCTTCCCGTGGAGCAGAGAGCCCTATGCGGGGCTCGATCCCAGGACCCTGGGGTCATGACCTGAGCGGAAGGCAGATGTTTAATGACTGAGCCACCCAGGCACCCCTCTCTGTTTTATTTTTATTAAAAAAATTTTTTTTAAGATTTTATTTATTCATCAGAGAGAGAGAGAGAGAGGGCACAAGCAGGGGGAGCGGCAGGCAGAGGGAGAAGCAGACTCCCTGCTGAGCAGGGACCCCCCCCCCCACCGCCATGCGGGACTTGGGATCATGACCTGAGCCAAAGGCAGACGCTTAAATGACTGAGCCACCCAGGTATCCCTGATTCTCTGTTTTAAATGGCTTCTCATCATTATACCCACTGCCGTATTTTAAGCCCCCATTATTTTTCAGTTGATTACTACAACTGTACGTGTCTCTTTCTGTACTTCTGGCCTTTTTTTTTTTTTTTTACTTCTGGCTTTTCATGAAAGCCAGGAGCCCCAGGTACAGGTGCTCTGAGGACAGTACTAAAGAACTGAATGGCATGGCTTTCATCCTTGAGCAAGTCTTATTGCAGAGATTAGAATATTCTCACAAAGTGTGAGATAATTACAGAGGGCAGAGCTGATTGCATGTCTTAAGTGTCTTTACTGTTGAGAGAAGAAACCAAAAGAGCAAGGAAGACTTCATGGGGGGAAGTGGAAGTTAAATTTGATCTTGTAGGGCAGAATTTGAATAGGCAGAAATGAGGGTAAGATTTCATTTCAGGAGAGGAAATGTCACGGCCAAAGAATTGGTGGCAGCAGGAGTAGTTGGAGTGTTGGGGAAGTATAGTGTGTTACGCAGTGAGAAGGTGGAATAAATAGGGAAGAATAAATCCTTTCGTTTTGAAAGAGTTGAAAGAACAGAGGTTAAATCTGGCTGTGAGGGGGCCTCCAAGTTGTAGTGTTTTAGGTTATTCAAAGAATGTATCACTTGAAATCAGATAATTTTCTACAGAGTTGTTACTTAGTTTTGCTTTACCCTTGTTCTGAAGAGCTTCATGTGTACCTTTCAAGGAAGAGTTAATTGTCAGCTCTTGCCCTAGATTGGCAAAGCTGTGTCTGTCCTCTCTTTATCCATTGTGGACAAGAGTACTCCCATACTGAGATGAGAAGCAGTGTGCTAGGCTCACCATCTTATTTCTGTTCTAGCCTCTCTAGGGCTGTAAGTTCCTTGATAGTGAATATGTGCAGCTTGCCTTCAGAATATGCAGACAGGGGTAACCCTGAACCATGTGGCTTTATTCATTCTTAAAAAGCAGTCTGATCAGGGGCACCTGGGTGCCTCAGTTGGTTGAGCATCCAACTGGTGATTTCAGCTCAGATCATGATTTCATAGGTCATGGGATCAAGCCCCACATCTCGAGCCTCAGGCTCTGTGCCCTGCAGGGAGTCTGCTTGAGATTCTCCCTCTCCCTCTGCTCCTCCTCCAGCTCACACCCTCTCCTTCTCTGCTTTCTCTCCCTCAAATAAATAAATAAATAAACAAATCTTTAAAAAAGGCAGTCTGATCAGAGAGATGCAGCTGTGATTTTTATTTTGTTATTTTTCTTTTATTTCTAAAAGAACAGAATCTATTTTTTTTTAAGTATTCCGTAATAATTTTTCTTAGTTTGCAGTAGCCTTGAAATTGAGATGCTTACATCTGGTCTTAAATATCAGTTTAAAAATATCTGATATTGGTCATGTTTTTATATAGTTAAGTTTGACCTTCAAGTTTATTTTAGAAAATGTGGTTTTAAAACTTTGAAGGAAGATCAGAATTACGGCATTTCTAAAGAGTGTTTTTTTCATACTAGTCAATAGATTTATTAGTAATTTTATGGACATTTCAGGAATAGTCAGCTAAAATCATATTCTTATCTCTATTGAGATATTTTAGCCATTTTAGTATTCTTGTCATGTATTTAAATAACATGCCTTTTTTTTTGCTGTTACAGGGGCAATGTTAAATATTGTTCAAGATTCAGCACTTTTAGAAGCCATTGGTTGCCAAATGGAGATGGTAAGAAGCATACCACATGTAATCTGTCAGAATATCAATATCTGATTTTATGTAAATTGCATTCCAAAATGTCTGTCCTTGTGATTTTTAAAGGTATTGGTTTGTAAATTCAGCTCACTGATACAGAAGGATCATATTTTAAAATATATATTTTGAGGTTTCTTACCTTTCAGTGTTTCCTCAACCATTCATCAGGTCCTTGAGAGATTCTGCATGAGAGAAATTTCAGCTAGATGCAGTCTTTATTTCTGGACAGTCTCTACTTAAAGCTCTTAACTTCTTTCGCTGTGCTGGTGAACTGGCTTGAGTAATCTAGGAAAAGCCTCCTATTCCGTAATTCCTTCTGTCCCTAGTAGATTTAATGCTGTCTAGAAACAAGTATTGAGTTTATTCTTTTCCATCTCATCAGCTCTTTTAGCTCCTCTAGACCAAAGTTTGAAGGTCCCCTAAAGCACCAGTACTTCGAAATTAAAAAAGCTTCCCAGTGGGGCGCCTGGGTGGCTCAGTCGTTAAGCGTCTGCCTTTGGCTCTGGGATCGAGGCCCACATCGGGCTCCCTGCTCAGCGGGAAGCCTGCTTCTCCCTCTCCCGCTCCCCTGCTTGTGTTCCCGCTCTCACTGTGTCTCTCTCTGTCAAATAAATAAATAAAATCTTTAAAAAAAAAAAAAAAGCTTCCCAGAGACTCCCACTGACCCTGGCTTCTGGCTTCAGGATATGTGATCCCCACACCTGGAGTAGAGGCAGGAGAGTGGGGAAATTTATAGGATATACTAGAATGAACTGGGTAGATGTAGGATGGGTGATCAAATTATTATTAAGGAAATTATATTTGTATCCCAGTAGGTAGCTAATAATAATCAACTGATCTGGATATAATGAACTTTGTTTATATGGGGGATAAAATGAGAGAAACCTTCAACAGATACCTTTGTTAGCCCATATACATATAGGAGTTAATCTTTATACTAACCATGATATCTTATTGTTTGTGTTCTATGATGTAACTACATTTGAAAGTTACTGTTGTTTGTTTATTTGTGTTTTGTTTTTTTAAGCGTGTACTCCTGAAGTCTTGCGTAGGAGGCATAGGGTAATTGTTTAAGGGCCCAGAGTCATTAGCTAGTGAAGTCTAGTGAAGATAGAAAAGGTCTTGGGCTGTCCCTTTATAAACAGCAGCAAAGACTCCAGAATGGACACCCATAATCATCAGACCCTTCATATCCTTCAGTAGATGGTGTCTGCGCAAAAACACCACAGTAATTTTAATTCCTTGTCAGGTTTTTAGATTTTATCAATTCATTTGACAGAGAGAGAGAGAACACAGGCTGGGGGGAGCGGCAGAGGGAGAGGGAGAAGCAGGCTCCCCGCTGAGCAGGGAGCCCGAAGCGGGGCCCAATCCTGGGACCCTGAGACCATGACCTGAGCCGAAAATAGACGCTTAACCGACTGCGCCACCCAGGCACCCCTCCTTGTCAGTTTTTATCTGTATATCAGTTTGTGCTACTTAGTTGGCCCATTCCGTTTTATCAACATGGCTTTTAATGACTGACTTCTATCTGTTCTTGTCAATTTTGAATGTAGCCCTCAAATCTTTGATCCATTTTTATTTGACTAGGGTGGTGGAGAGAATAACCTGAAGAGTCATAGTCGCACTAATAGTGGTATTAGTTCAGCAAGTGGTGGAAGCACAGAGCCCACAACTCCCGATAGTGAAAGACCTGCTCAAGCTCTCCTAAGGGATTATGGTAAGCCATGTTTGTTTTTTTGAAATCCAAAGGTTATTGAATAAGTATTAATGCCCAGATTCATAAAACAATCTTTTTAAACAAAATTTTAATGTTCATGATTTTAATGTATTTAAGTGTAATACTTAATAACCTAATACTTATTAGTCTAAAAGATTTTTTAAAAGAAAACAGATTTTTTAAAATTATCTCTGTAGCTTTTAGTGGCTAGATTTTGGGTAGTTTATTAGATTTTATAAATGATTATAGTGGGGGGGGTCAGGAAAAATTTATGGATTCTTTTACCAGATATTGGTAATATGGAGAAATAGAACGTGCTCTGCCTCAGGCTCTAATGATAGAGATAGCCAGCACATCAGTTATTGCAGTGTGGTACGTGAAGTGATAAAATGTACATTAGATGGAACCCAGAGGAGAGAGTCTTTGTGTTTAAATTTTAAGCAGAAGTAAGGAAACATTTGCTAGCAGAGCATCCTATTCAGTGATGTCCTGTACCTTGGCACTTACTTTACGGGTTCTGTGAATTTGTGGGTGCCTTTTTTTTATACATGATTATTAATATTGTATTGAATCTGTGAGTGCTAGTCCAACATGACTGGAATGAAATCTAGATCCTTAGATGTAAATTTAATTTTTTAATTATCTGGAAAATTCATGAGCCTAGGAGTCCAGGCATGTTTAAGTTTGCTTTAAGTATCCTTGAGCATGTCAAATACGTCAGCTCATTATGTTAAGGTTATTCAACAAATTTAAATATTGCATTTATAAAGCAGTTATTTAAATTGTTAACTTATTCATTATGTTCATGGATTTAAGTATACAGTGGGTGAAAATTTGTTTTTCATGCTTTCTAAAACACTTAACTAAAGAACTTTTTGAATTATTGTATGTGTTCTAATATAAATGTTTGAAGTGATTATTGTTTGTTTCAGCCTTTTGAACTGGTGTTAGTGAGTTCTGCTTGTAATGTCATAAAGTAGTTTTTACTAAGAAATCCAGATTTGTGTTAGTGTCGCATGAATGTCTCTCTTTAATGATCATTCCTTTTTCTGTTGTCACTGCCCTCTTTCTGATAGGATCGACAGGTATAATGTCCCTAAAGCTTCCTTTATAAAATCAGTTTAATTTGTCCTAATTTATTATTAGCTAAGTAGTAATTTTAAATGTAGAACTAGAGGTCAAATAAAAATATGTTGACTTGGTTATTTAATTTTTTTTTAAGAAACATTAAAGTAGCTTTAGAGAACTAAATGTTAAAATGTGTTTGAAAAGGCTTTGCATGTGACTTTTGATAGTTTAAACCCTGAAAATAATGTCAACAGATGTTTTAGGGTATTCCTAACATCTGAGGAGATTCTAAAAATGTGAATTCTTTCTTCTATAAAATTCCAAGGAAATAATTGATAGATAGCCTTTTCATTGTTTTTTTTGAAAATGTAACTCTTTATGAGTTAATTAAGAAATTTTAAGATATATTGAAGTGCCAAATCCTAGTGGATGTCTGTGTAAAAGTACCTGAGCTGGGAGCTAGAAGCTGCTTTGGTCCAGTGTGTGTGCCCTGTGCACTGTTGTTCAGTCAGGCTTCACGCTGAGGCCAGTGGGGTGGGGAGCATAGCACTGTGTGGGTGCCCGTCGTGCTCACTGTGGCTGCTGTGGTCTGTGCCTGGTGGAATGCTGTGCTTCTCGTTACTAATGCTTAGTTGTTTTCCCTCCCTGTGGGATGTGGCATTGGGGTTATATCCTAGCTCTTAATACAGATTCAGCTGCTGGGCTCCTGATTCGCAGCATTCATCTTGTCACCCAAAGACTCAACTCCCAGTGGCGGCAAGACATGAGCATATCACTGGCAGCTCTAGAGCTCCTTTCTGGCCTGGCAAAGGTGAGGAGAACAGTACTTTTATTTTAGCCCAATAGCTTTGGACCATGATTCTTTGTCCTGTATCTCTCAACTCCTTGATATGGGTATTACAGTGTTGCTTATACTCAAACATAGTTTTATCCAGAGTGTGCAAAAGTGAGCCTCCAAGTGAAATTTTACAAAGTGAACTTTACTTTTTTTAATAGGTTCAAAGATTATGAATGATACTTTTGCTATTAAGTTACAGGAAACATTTCAGTACTTCCTGTTTATTTGCACATGCTAATAGAATATCTGTTGATTTTTTTTTTTAAGATTTTATTTATTTGACAGAGACACAGCGAGAGAGGGAACACAAGTGGGGGAGTGGGAGAGGGAGAAGCAGACTTCCTGCTGAGCAGGGAGCCCGATGCGGGGCTGGATCCAGGAGCCCGGGATCATGACCTGAGCTGAAGGCAGATGCTTAACGACTGAGCCACCCAGGCGCCCCTACCTGTTGATTTTGTATTTTCTTATAATACCCTTAAATTTTCAACATGACATTTTGTGTCATTGTAGGATCATCTGATTTTAATAAATGCACATAAAAATGTGCATAAATCTCAAAATATTTATGCTGAGAAGAAGAAGCCAGGCTCCCTCCCCCAAAAAAGAATACAATACATGTGATTTTATTTGTATAAAACTCTAGAAAATGCAGATTAACCTGAATTGACAGAAAGCAGATCAGTAGTAACCTAAGGAAGGGGCATAAAGTAGTGGAAGAAAGGATTAGAAAGGTGCATGAGGATATTTTGGGGGGTGATGGATATGTCTATTATTTTGATTGTGGTGATAGTTCACAAGTGTATACTTATGCCAAAATTTATGAAATTGTTCACTTTAAATATGTGTAGTTTCCTGTATGTTAATTATACCTCTGAGCAGCCATACAGAACTTTATAGCCCATAGAGCATCACTGCAGGGTTGGGTTAGGGGGCTTCGGAAATGTATACACGTTCCATTGCCAGATATTCTTTTGATATCTGATGATGATGGATAGGTGCACTCCAGGAGTTTAGGTTTTTAGCCAATGAAAAAATATGCTAAAATGAAATAACTGTTTTGGAGTTTGAAAAATGTTCTCTGATTTTATAGAGTATTTTATGATGATATATCTGAAATATTTCTCTGTATAAATAATATTTATTTTTAAGATTTATTTATTTGAGAGAGAGCAGGAGGAGGGGCAAAGGGAGAGGGGGAGAGAGAATCTCAAGCAGGCTCCACCCCCAGCACAGTGCCTGACATGGGACTTGATTTCACAACCCTGGGATCATGACCTGAGCCAAAATCAAAAGTTGGACACAACCGATTGAGCCAAGCAGGTGCCTTTGTATAAATAAAATTTTTGAAAGCAAGGCTTCCTGTAGTGTATCCCAGTGTCAGAAAGGCCAGGCTGCAGTGCAGATAGTTTGAAATCAGTACAGTGGTTCCTGGCTAACTGTGTTCCCCATATGAATATGCTCAGGTGAAGGTGGTGGTTGACTCCGGAGACCGGAAGCGAGCCATCAGTTCTGTGTGCAGCTACATTGTGTACCAGTGTAGTCGGCCAGCTCCTCTTCACTCCCGGGATCTGCACTCCATGATAGTAGCAGCTTTTCAGTGTCTCTGTGTCTGGCTGACAGAGCACCCTGATATGCTTGATGAAAAGGTTAGTTTACTAGATCTTAAAACAGGAAGGAGAAACAAAAGTGTATGTTGGGAAGATGCCTCTTAAAAGAGAATATTTAAATACAATATTGCATACTTTAAACTGAATATACTTGTTATATTTTGGTAGGACACTTGTCCTTTTGGGCTCAACTCAAAAATTGTCATCATGCTTATATTTGGTTGCAAATTAATCCATAGAGAAGTTCTTTGAAAGATGGAGCCTTGACTAATTTATCTGAACTATCAAGAAAATTCTTTCTTGAAAGGATGTGGTAGCTTTGAGATGGCCAGAAGGCACTTTGGTCACCCATTGCCAAACCTCGAAGGGCAGTTGGTAGCCAGGTTGCAAACCTGGAGCACAGCTTGCCATAATGGTTTGCCTGTATATTAAAAATTTCATTTCACACATATTTCCCACTTTCAAGTAGGCATCTAGGCTGATTTCCCTTGCCATTGTTCCATTTAATATCTTCCTTACAGGGAGGCAGGTGGTTTTTAAGAATTCATAGTGTAAATAAGAGGTATCAGTCTCATTGAATATTTATGGAGAGTTTTGTATCATTTTAAAATAATACTGTTGATTAAATCTTAGTTATTTTCATTATGGCTTCTAATGTTATGGTACCAAGAATTGCTTAAAAATTTCAGTAACTGATGAACTTCCCTTTGGATAATCTAATGTCTTAGGTTTCCATCTTGCTCCTGAATTTTTTTTTAATCTTAGTGACTTAATGTCTTAAACCACCCCAGGTTTAACTGAATTACCATTCTATCTCTTAAACTTGGGCTTTCATGATTTTATAGTCTGTGGTAATTTTATAAGAATTATAACTGATAAGATTGAATTGATTTTATCATTATCTAATTCTGAACATTCAAATTCAGTTCTTTAAAGAAAAATTGGGGGGCAAAGTTTATTATATTATTGTGAAATTAACATACACCTATTAAAATGAGAAGGAAACTGAAGCCCACCACCAAAACACAACCACTGTTAGCATTTTGCTGTATTTCCTTATCTTATAAGATAGGTTTATTACAAAAACTGATTTGCCTTTCCTGCTTCTAGGACTGTCTTAAGGAAGTATTGGAGATTGTGGAACTGGGTATTTCAGGAAGTAAGTCCAAGAACAGTGAGCAAGAGGTCAAGTACAAAGGAGATAAGGAGCCAAACCCTGCATCTATGAGGGTAAAGGATGCTGCTGAAGCCACCCTAACATGGTATGGAAAGTGACTGCACAGGGATTGCACCTAGCAATTAGATGGGGTTAGCTGCGATCCATGTTGTTTCTTCTCTCCAGTTGTTCAGCATGAAGTGATGTAATCTTCCAGGATACTTTTTCTTTAGAAATAAAATGGAAAGGAAAAACTTGTTTTGGGGACCAAAAGAAACCAGGAATATGGGGCTGAGAGTTTGGGTCCTTGTTTTTCTGTGCTAGTTGGCATTAATTGAAGTCATATCATATTAGAGTTAGACAGGATCTCAGAGAGCCTTACTCTTCCTCTTCACTTTGGTGCTGCCTGAGTCCAGAGATGGGATCTGCCTGAGGTCACACTATTAAGTCTTCTGCTTCTTAGCGCAGTGATCTGTATTCTGTTACATTTATGTACGTATTAGAAGTGCATTCAGTCAAGATTTATGAGCTCCCTCTTATGAACTTGTAATAGGATTGTAAAGATAAATCAGATTCAGTCACCACCCTCAAGGAGCTTATTGTCCAATAGGGAAGGTAAGAGATGAGCACAAATAGCTATAATGTTAGGTGGAGAGTAAGTGCTGCAGGAGAAGAGGTATAATAACATGCTGGAAGGGGGAAATGAATACTTCCAGATATGGGGCAATCAAAGATTTCTAGAGAGGATGACATTGGACCTGACTTTTACAGGATGGGTGAAGTTTCATCAAAAGCCAGATTATAGAGTGGTTAAGAAGGCAGCAAGAGAAGATTTCTGTTCTAATCATTTTGGTAGTGAATGGATGGAGACAGGTTGGAACCTTAGAAAAATAATAAAGATTGCTGAAAGAGTTTGGATTTGGCTGGTACGTGAGGAGAGTGGAAAGAGGGAAGGAAGGCAGTGTAGGCATATTTATGGATTGGAGGGAAGAGTTGAGTGAAGATTAGGTAGAATCACATAACAGTTGGAAAGTTGGAGCTTATGAAAGGGTAGGTGTGGGTGAAGACCCAGAAAACAAAAGCAGGACAGAGGAGGTCAGGTTGATCTGGATTGGCTCATCTTGGTTGTAAAGTGGTAGGCAAGACTGCTTGCAGATTTGTATGTAAATCAGCCCTTACCAAGATCCCAGAATCTTTTGAGTTCAATGGTCTATTTATCACTTGGGGCATGCACAGTAAAGTTGGATTTATTTCTCTTCCTCTTGGGCTTTGGTCATTCAGGACATTTTTAGAAGCATTCATGCTTTAGTTTAGTCCTGCTTACTGCACTGGCTAGGCTCTCAGTGTGCTTCTGGAGGTTTGGCTAATAGCTAGAAAATTAGGAAAATGTGAATGCAACTGTTAAAACATGTACTTACACCGGCGATGAGTACTAGAAATAATACAAGTTCGGAGGGGTGCCTGGATGGCTCAGTCAGTTAAGTGTCCAATTCTTGGTTTTGTTTTGTTTTTGAAGATTTTCTTTATCTGAGAGAGAGATTGTGCACAAGTGGAGGGAGGGGCAGAGGGAGAAGCAGATTCCCTGCTGAGCAGGGAGCCTGATGCGGTGCTCAATCCCAGGACCCTGAGCCAAACGCAAATGCTTAACCAATTGAGCCACCCAGGTGCCCTTCCAACTCTTGGTTTCGGCTCAGGTCGTGATCTCATGGGTGGTGAGATTGAGCCCTGAGTTGGGCTTCACGCTCAGTGGAGAGTCTGCTCAAAGATTATCTTCCTTTGCCCCTCCCTCCACTGTGTGTGTGTGTGTGTGTGTGTGTGTGTGTGTGTGTGTGT